CCGGACATGTCCGGGGAAATCCGGACGTATGGTAACCCTAGGTACCACCATAGCCCTCACCCCCAGCTAAAAGTTGCAGGGAAAGGCCTGCTCAGTCCCCCTAAGGCCTGAGCTGGAGCATGCTCCGGGCAGATAAAATCTTCAGCAAACTTAAAAGCCAAACTAACAGTCACTACTGAGCATGTGCAAACTGCAATTTCACAGACGTTTATAATTTGGCCAGATTTTGGTGGATTTTCACAGGGATGGTACAAAGTATATCTCTGGCACCAGATGACTTCCCTGCTCCAAAAAATGAAGGCACTAGAGATTCGCAATTTAACAGCTGTAAGAATTTTTTGTCATGGACAAAACAATGTACTTTCCCCTAATCTTATTCTCAGAAATGGCTGACCCATTTTTGCTGAAACTTCAAAAGTAATTCAGCTTGTGATAAGACCTAGCACAGAAAATTTCAGCCCAAACAGTTAAAGTCTGGCAAAGTTTTAAGCAGGATGTTATAAAAGAATGTTAGGCAATGCTACTAGCTATTCCCATTAGAGCTGGTCAGAAAATATTGCCTCCTCTGCTCCCCCATGGAAAGTGTCAATAAAAATTTTAATTTTAATTTTTAATGGAAAATGTTGACTTTTCATCAAAAATCAAAATATTTCCACAGACAATTGAAATAATCTGATTTAAACTGGCACTGCAGTGCCTCATGCTCCCATTCTTCTCTATGGATTGGACTTGGTTTTTCTGGGGGGTGTTTTTTCAACGAAATACAGAAATTTTACATGGAAAGCAGACACCTCTCACAAAAATTTGTTTACTCAAAAATTCTGTCAAAAAACAGTTTCAATAGAAAATTTTCAAACAGTCCTTGCTCGCATCCTAGTGGGGCAAGTCCCTCCCCAGGAGACTGTTCCCTTTTCTTTTCAGAGCTACTTCAGCCCGGATTGACCAGGACTGGTCCAAGGCCCCCTATTAGGAAATCACATGTAACATTTTTATGAGGTGCTGCACACACGACACAGCTCCTGATCAATTTGTTTGGGACTGTGGTAGCAAAAGGCAAACAAGCAAGATGAGCAAGAGCAGTGGACAACAGCTGAATGTTGGCTTGTTGCAGGGGTAGCACCAGAGGTGAAAGTAAGCCGGTACGGTCTGGTATGGTGTACCGGCAAGAGCTAGCACGCCATGCCGGACTGGACCGGCTTCCCCGGCGGTGATTAAAAGGGCCCAGGGCTCCAGCTGCAGCGGGGAGCCTCGGGCCCTTTAAATCACTGCCGGAGCCCTGCCGCTCTGGGGTAGCAGCAGCAGGGCTCCCGCAGTGATTTAAAAGGCCTGGAGCTCCGCAGCGGCCGGAGCCCTAGGCCCTTTAATTCACCCCTGAGCCCCAGGGCTCCCAGCCACCTTTGCAGCTGGTAGCTCCGGGGTTATTTAAAGGCCCTGGGGCTCCCAGCCACAGCCGGAGCCCCAGGGCCTTTAAATATTGAAAGGCCACACCTCTTCCAATTGAGGCCATGCCCCTGCTCAGGACTCCGGTGTACCAGTAAGTCCTTTAAGTTACTTTCACCCCTGAGTAGCACCAATATCATGGTGTGGGGCAGAAGAATCCCTTTTCCCCTGCCTCATAATCTGAGCTGGATAGCGCTTGATTTCGAGAAGCATTTTTATAAAACACTTTGTTATGAAGAGCAAATGCTGTGCAGTTCTGTATAACTGCAGCTTCTGTGTTACTGCAGATATTCATGGTTGGATGAGCTTTTCCCCTGTCTGCACAAAACCTTCTTCTACATAGTCCTTCAGTTGTCATAATCACATGTTTATATCACATCACCATCTGTTGCCATGAAAATAACCTTATCACTGATCCAGCTGATTTCATCATGAGCACCAGCAAGTGGATCAGAAAGAAGATCTTGCCTTGGAATACAAATAGCACTGAGAATTTGCAACAACAAGCCAAATTAAGGCAAAACATCTGAAGTTTAGAATGGTTTATAGTTACTATTAGACAAACACCCCTTGAGCTTTGGGGGAATCTGGATCCAGATCTGAGCTTTGAAGCTTTAGCTCATGTCTAGCTGCTATAATTTATTTGTTCGTAGTGCAAAAGCTGCTCATTAATGAAAATGAAGAGGAAGGAGGGTGGGGAGAAAAGCCTCGTCAGAAAATCCTAGAAAGGCTGAGAAACGAACACATCCACAAAGAGTTACGCTGCAGGACTAAAA